GTATTTTTAGATTGTGCCGTTCTCACTCTTCAGCCTGTTATGGGGCTGAAATGCTTCAGACTGGAAATTCCGACTCAGGTCATTAATAGGGCCTTATTACTAACGAATTGTTAAATTGGTTGCCATGATCCATAGTGATTATAATATTTTGTTATGAACCTTGTACCTCTAGAAAGTGATTGATCTTAATTCATAAATGGATGTTCTGTCCTGAGTTTTGCTGGCGTGGGTTGTAAAAACGGTGGACTTGATTTCTCAAGAACACATTTGTATGGCTACGGCCTAGAAGCAAAATCAAAACTTCATTGTGGACGTAGTTACTGATTCAGAATTGATTTAATGTTGATGGTCCAGATTTTCAATGTTACCGAACTGGGTGACGTAGTTACTAGCATGACGTTTTCTTTACTAGACTCGCTTATAGCTTTACAGAAAAGCTGGTGAACTTCATCGTCCGATGCTTCAACACCTGAAAATGAATATAATCTTCGTGAAATGTAATTGCCATCAGATGAGCTAGGCAGTTTGGGCACGAATAAAATTTATAGACATTTGTCGTAGTGAACACATACATTCTTGTTTGCTGCGATGGTGGGGTGTGTCACGGGGGCTAGGGTTTGGTACGACGCTGGCTCGTCGCATCTATTCACCCTCTCCAACAGTAGGAGGAGAATGGGCTAGCGCCGCGCCAAACGCAGCCTCTCTGGCACGCCCTTGCAGCGACCAAGTTATTGTCACGTAGATGGTTATCTGTACTCTTTTATATATTTATTACATGAGGTATCTCATGTGGTAACAAACACTGTAAACCGATAGAAAACATGAATGTATGAAAAAAAAACAAAACAAATGCCTAAATGTTAGAGGGGAAATCAGTGAATTGAGTTGAAACGGAAGTCATTATGATTCTAGGTATTGGCTGAGGTACTTTTGGAGGGCTTGGGTTATGAACATCTCAACTCTTGAGATGTACATTCGGAAATTTTGTCCGGTCTAGTAGCATCCGTTGAAGGATTTAATATTCGATAGTTAAGCGACAGTACTTCACTGGACCAAATGGTTTCAGGGGTCACATATTTGCGTCTTCGACACCACGAAATGACCTAATCTCCCATCACAAGTCTGAGGATGCGGCAAATAAGAAGGGTGCTTTTGTGCTGCGGAAAAATCAGCGCGTCCATTCCCTGAAAAGTGATAAGGTCATGTGAAAGAGCGCGAATCGGAAACAGCCGAAGCAAACTTTTGCTCCAGTTTAAATTGCGGATTCGGTGAGCATTGAAGCTGTGAGAAAGGCGCCTGGCTGCGCTGCATCCCGGCAGACGGGCAAGAGAATCGTAATTTGCCGCTCCGCCGCGCGCGGCGATGGGCGCGGCGTTTTCTTAACTCGTGTTAACCTGTCGATTGGAGCACCGCACTTCATGTAGACCCCCTCATCGTAAGACATGGAATTTTTCGGTTCTGAAATTGTCTGTTGTCGGGCCGTTAACCACTGGAGCCATCGTCTCTTTGTGGTGCACACCAGGCGCGGCGATTACGTTACATACGCCTACATTCCTCCGGCGTGCCAGACCCTGTCGTTTCGCATGTCGTGGGCTCGCATGACTGGCTGGGGCAAGGCCAGGCCATGCTCTGAAGCTCCATCGAAAGTGTCTAATTTTTTTTTGGGAAGGGCACCAAAATGACTGATCAGTAGCTGAAGGGGAGTCGTAATAAAGAAGAAATTTTTTTTAGGGCGGGGGGGGGGGAGTCGTGTTTAGCGAAATTCTCGTCAACGCAAGGAAGCCCCCTAATCTGGTCGCCTTACCCCTCTTCGGCTCCCGGCACTTGACGGAATGAACGGGGTCTAACGCCAATGCTTAAGCTACCGCTTTTTTTACGGCTGTACGGCACCTATCAGGCTTCAGCCAAGGTGGGCTATTGGCTGGGAGAAATTTTTGCGATCTACCTGAGTGGGGACTCTTGAGGCGACTAAAGATTGCAACCCCCACGCCCCTCCCCTCCCGATTGGCAGTGTCGCGCCAGTGAGTTAGATTAAGTGAAACAGGAAAGAATTAACTAAAGAAAATTTTCTCCGATCACGACCCTCCCCCTCTCTTGGGCGACTCGAGAGACCCCCTCCCTGGGAATCCCCCAGCGCACGACGTGCCCTTATCGTCACCAACCTGCAACACGTACTCCATGAGAGGACTCTGTAGCCTTCTTCATGGAAATGTTTTAGGCAAAAAAGGTTTTTTAAAAGTTTTAAAGAGTAATGACAAAGTTTCCACCACCACTTTTATTTCATGCGGACGTTCCCTCACTCTTTGTGATGTCGCAACGGGAAGATTACTCACCTGCCTGTGCGCTGTGATCGATTCAGTCTATTACTCATGTTTATGCTATCTGACGGGCGTCACCCCAGGTGACGGTAATGGGGAAAAACCTGATTGAGCCAGTGTATTGTACAGTGTTTTTAAACTTAAGGTCAAAAAGCAGTGATTACGATCATCAATCAAAATTCATTTATTTGTAATGACAGTTACGACTTGGTGGGTTCTATATCGACTACTTCAGAGGAAGAAGATTAAATACACAAGTAAAGTAAGGAAGTTAGGAAGGAACATTTTCTGAGTGTACTGGTAAATGCGGTAGCATGTGTTCGAACATGACCTATGAATAATGGGCCAAGGCTGCAACGCCTTTGTCATCCCAACCGAGTCTAATTTCAAGCCAGAAGAAGGAGGAAGGCTCGGGAAATGCTGACGAAAACTAGTCTGACCGTGCAACTTGATTTTTGCACGCATGTGCGCTAATGCTACGCTGAGTGGATTTGGTCCTGTTGCGCCAGGGTTAAGCATACGTCGCGGAATCCGCGGGGCAGGAGGAAGAGGGTCATATCTGCTCCCTCAGGAGGGGGAGGCGTATCTGCAGAGGTCAGTATTGAACACAGCAGCGACGTAGCTTGCAAGATGGGTAATGCGTTCGGAAAGGAAGTCGAGTACATGGCGCTTTCCATAGAGGGCGTTGATCGACGCGGCCTGCTCTGCTGTTAGTTCCGTATTCACGCAACACGAAAGAAAAGGTGTACGCGGAAGGCCCACCGAGCTTTCCCTGATGGAAATGCTGGGGGGGGGGGAGATTGCCTGGCATAGCTGGCAGCTGAAGCCGATTTCAAAGCGAAACCCGCGACGGGCGAATTTCCGCTGTACTTGGGCTACAGAAAAGGATTGTGCTCACTGAAGAGAGAAAGCCTTCTAGTTTCCAACGTCGTGCAGATCTCCGTTCTACATCATGTCTATACGCTGTGATATCCATTAGAAAGTGAAAAACTCGCGTTAAATTCTGGCATAGAAATCGCGTCATGCAAGCTCGATGAAAGCTGTATTGTATTCCTCGTAAGAGTCTGCCCACACAACATGAATTGTACTTACCGCGCTGCGAAAGATGTTCCTGAATGAAGTTTTACCCTCTTAAAAAGTACTATGTAAACGCAACGGGCCAGTAGCGCTGCAATCTCCATACAAGACGCAGTCTACCCTAAGGCAGCGTTCAGACTTCGTGACAGCAACGCGCTCCGATGCGCGTTATGACGCGAGTCGACATGCAGTAGAAACCACTGCTCATCGATCGCCGCAACCGCGCGGACCGGAAGCCTGGCCTACCGCGAAGGTCTGAACCAGGCACGCCATCTTTGTGATCATCACAACAGAGGGATCGTGTTTGAGCTCGCGGATGGAGGGGGGGGGGTAGTCGCAAGCGCGGAACGCTTTCTGAAGTGAGAGTGGCAGCGATACTGCAGATGTCGCTCAGCTGCAAGAGATCCTCTGCAAAACAGTGTAAGATTAATGGCAAAATTTTTCATCTTCAGCGCGGAACTTCGAGTGAGCAAAAAAAAACGCCATTAGTTATGATCGACCCACTAGTAGGTCAAGGTGGCCATTTGGAGATGCATGTAGATTTACAGGACACTATTTATCCTTTACTGCTCCAATCATCCGGAACCAGGCCAGCTTTTGACCGACTTTTTTCTTCGTGGGCAGACTTGGCAGTTGTCCCTTGGGGTAGTTTGACATCCTGAACAGGAGTATCACATCTGTATGGGGTGTTGAGAATGTTTAGGATGGAGTGAAGGGGATACACGGATAGCGCAACCTGCTTGTGCTCGTCGCACCCTTCTCCCGAGTTAATGGTTTCTCCCTCTGCTAAGGCTGAACCTTAGTAAAGAAAAGGAACACCACCACAGGCAACCAGAAAGAGTGCTGCTCATTTCACAATTCCCCTAACTGCCCTAGCTTACCGCTTTGTACGAAAGCAAATGGAGTTTGTGCCACGCGCGCCGTAGTCGCTTGTGACAAATGCGTTAGGCGGCCCAGACCAAAAGGATGTGATATTTGGACTTTTAAGCCAAGTCTGTTCACGGAGCAGTAAAGTCGGTCAAAAACTGACTTCATTCCGGATGATTGGGAGGGAAATGCATTTACATGTGTTTCCGATTCATTCCATAACAGAAGGCAACCCGAGAAGTCTTTTTTATGCTCAAAGTCGTACTCAAATGCTTCTAGGATACATACTGGGAGCCAAAGTGCAGGACGCATTTCAGAGGCGGTGAACTTAAATCAGCGGTCAGCGCCAAACTCAAGCCGTATTGTTGTACTCGGCCGCCCACTGCGAAGGGATTTGGCGCCCGAGTTTGCAGGTTCAGCCGCTACCCTTCGTAGTGAGGGCGCCAAAAAAGAATAAGATATTCCTGACGAAGGAGCAGGACTACTCCTCGAGCCAACAAAAAAACCTAAACTGTTTAATTCCTCGAAAAAATGCCCAAGAAAATCCCAATGTGAGCCCCAGAGCAATAGGAAGAATTGAAGTTCATCGGAGGGTAGTTCAAACTCGGTGTACAGCTTTGGGTTGAACCAGATGAACCATAACCTCGGAGGCAGTTTTGTGAGGTGCCCGCATTACCGCTTTTATCACAATTTCTGACACAGGTTCAAGTTAGTTACACACAAGAAAAAAAAACGAAAACGAAGATATTTTGACGACACGCACCTGTCCATTTGGTAGGGGTTCTGCGACCTTTTTCTAAACCAAGATACACGACGAATGGGACAAATCCCCATTGGAAAACGAAGGTTGAGAAGTTGACACTTTTGATGATGAACTGCTTTTGCGACGGACTCAACTGCATCCTGTACCTGCACAAAGCTCTTAACTTTCTAAAGAAGAAGTTGAGGTTATGGAATATACTGAAGTTATGAAAGTACGATAAACTTTCTGGTATGGCACCATAGTGGCAGAGAAACCTTTATTCAGCAGCCCAGAACAAATCATCACATTGTACAGGAAACCATAGTAATTAATTTAGAATATAAATAAATAAATAATAAGTGCTCTAGATAATCGGGAAAGTGGCAATCATAACAAAAACAAAGAGAAAGTTCCAATGATATGTAACACATGCTACAATCGACTAGAATCACTATCTCGAAGTACTGTCCCTACTCGATCTCTAGGAATCAATCGCAGCTCACTTCCATGTTTCAAGAAAATATTTCCTGCTGATTGAGAAGGATTAATTCCAATTCCGTCATTCGTAATAATAGCAGAAGTTGCTGCTGGCACCTGAAACGATGTTCATAACGCATAACAAACGTGAAAGATCAAAATGAAGAAGAAGTAATGACTTAAAAGGTAATTCCTCATGAAAAGCGCGCTTATTTACCTACGATAGAAGTGAATCCGCCTAATAAGTAAAAACGGAGCGCTACATAGCAAACTACTATGCAAGCAATCGATTAACCTTCAATGAGTACCAGAAGATAGTGATGAAAATGAGAGGTCCTCTCTTGGGTCGTAATGATGCATTCGATGAAAGGTTGGCACGCAGTTGCTTTAATAATGTTATTTCCCCACATAAGTTGGACAGGGTGCAGTCGCAATCACCTGTACCACCTAAGCTCCCGTTGCTCGTCAGGTTGCTCGGGTGGGCGCCAGCAACGTCTCCATTCGGGCCTGCGACACGCTGGAGTTCCCATTGGGTTCCCCGTGTTCGATAGAACTTCATACCATTCGGTCAGAGCTTTCACGAAGAAGTCTGACCGTCACGCAGGCGGTCGTCCAGGTGTTCGTTCGACACCCCGTGGAATCCAGTTCGTAATGGCACTAGTCTAGGGGTCGACGAGTGCAGAACTCCGAGTCTCCGAAGGTTAAATTAGGGAAGAAAGGATCGCGGTATCGAAGAGGTGGTTACGGAGAGGGATGTACTTCGGTCGCAAAGCTACCAAGACTATTTATGATGCAATTTGGATTTCCCGTAGACATCCGGAGCTTTTTAAAAGGCATATGCGCTGTGTGTCATTGGAGGCTATCAAAAATGCCTGCTCAACGTCACATTCACCTAA